AAGTCGATAGACTAGATACTTCTCCATGATATGGGCAAGTTGTTTCCGAGCCCGTCCTGTGCGAGACAGGACGTTCAAGAAAGCAAGACCAACAATCATGCCAGCAAGACAAATTGCGTAGGAAGCGATAACCCAGTCCATGAGCGCTTATGACTGGGAGAGTGGGGATCCGGGAGGAAGACCAATAGTAGTGATATATAGATAAGTACAGACGAATGCTGAATACAGGAAAGGACCGAAGAATCGAAGGACTGAAGTATAGTCCAGGGAACAGTTGCAACGCTATAGAGCATGAGCGACAGGCATAATTGGCCGCCCATCTTCAGCGGAGCAGGAAACGGCCGGAAGAAGATCAATTAGGCACCGGTGTTGCCCTGTCTCCACATACGTACTCCCGCGGGAAAACCGCAACCCGTGTCAAACTGACAAGACCGAGGAGACACTCGGTATCGCGATGTCTTAGAAGCGGGTGCTGTAGGTCTCGGTCAGTCGTCTGGATCTCTGGCGCGAACCTCAAATGTAGCTGGTGATACGAACACTTTGCAACTCAACGACGGACGACGCAGAATCGATCGCGACTAGGAAGGCAAACCCGTCCGAGTCGGGGGCCCAGCGGCCGAGGTCGTCGATGCCTGGCGTTTCCTTGCAGTACTTTTGCATGAGGAGTTGAACGACATGGCTGAGAGCCGTGAGATGACGGTGGCTATGGCCTCTGAGCGGCTGGCAGAGGTGCTGTTCGGCTATGTACACGGTTTCTAACGTCAGATGTCGAAATCCTAAGCCTATACTGATCAGGAGGTAGGCCAATTACCGATCTTCACCACACCCGCGTCAGTCATCAATACGTTTCCTCCACCGATCGAAGTATGCTCCAAGCCTTCTCCCTCTAGATAGCTGAGGCCGTCTACGACCTAGATCGGCGTAGGTGTCAATTAGATCTTTGATGCGCAATCGCATCCATCCAGCCCCATCTCTCTGCTTACCTGCCCGACTATGGCACCC